GTGTGTGAGTTAATGTCTTTGCCATTTACAGTTTAATTTCATTACACTGTGGTCTTTTGTCCCTTTTTGTGTCGAGAAGCCTTCTGAAGACTCCTCGATGAGTTCACGCGAGTAATCATTTTCCTTTCTCTCTCTCTCTTTCTCTCTCTTTTTCTCTTTAGTGCTTTGACTTTTACGATGGTCTTTCTGATCTGGTTAAACTGCGTTAGATTGGTATACAGATAATGAAATCTCGTTTACTTCTCCAAAGAGAATGAATGAATTTTTGAACGAATAAAATTGTTTGAATAAATCAATTTTGTGATTATGAATTCAAATTAATTTGTCTTCCTGTAAAATTATTATTTTTTCTTTTTCTACCGCATTTCTTTACTATATAATACTAATACTATACTATAAAAACAAAAAATTAGTAAAATTTAACTTTCTTTCTTTCCTTTATTTTAAATTATTTTATTAGAAAAAATAGAAACTATTACAAATAATATTTTAATTTCTAAAAATTAACAATTATTTGATCATTTTTCGTAAATTTAAAAATATTAAATTTCATTTTTGCAATAAAATATAAACATAAATTAACTTTTTACGTAATCAATAAGAAATTAGTTGAATAATTTATTCTATATAAATAATTTCAGTATTAAATATTGATTATTATTTCAATATCATAATCTTGTGTCTTTATCATTTATCAATATATCAATTCCATCTTTATCGAATCATAAACATTACGTGAGCGAATCACATTATTGTGTAATAAAAAAAAGTGTCTCATAAAAAATTAAATTTCAATAATATCCAAACGAAAGTTTTCTGTATACCAACCAATTTCATTTTTCGTTCCATCCATCCATTATAAGTATATTACAATTCATCTAAAACTACCTCTTCTTGTTTTCCATCTACTCCTCTTCTCCTTCTCCCCGTTTCAACCCCTCTTCTATCCTACTCGCCGAATTACGTGAACATACAAAATAACTAACATAAACTCTAAATGAAATCTCAAAGACAAAAAAAAAAGGAAGGAAGAGAAAGAAGAAAAAAGAAAAATATCAGAAAGAACAAAAGAAAAAAATAATTGGCTAAAAGGAAATAAAGAATGGAAGATCGCTATATATATAGTAAGGTTCTGTTATTGTATTACACGTGGTTGGTGTATATGCGTGTCTGGTGTGCACGTGTGTATTAGGTGAGCCTCGTTCGAAGGATAGTGAAAAATCACTCGAATGCAAAAAAAAAAAAAAAAAANAAAAAAGGAAAAGAAAAAAAAAAGAAAAAAAAAAGAAATAGAAATTAAATTATTATTTGTTCGTTCTGTTCAGCTACTCTACCAGGCAACTTTCATTCACTATTACAATCGTTTTGTTCAGTACTTACTCAGCAATTCTCGATGGCTGGTCATTCTATATACCCATCCACGGTAATTGCACAACTATACTGAATAACAAACGGTCAATTTTCTCATCGTTTCACCCTTTTTTTCTTTCTTTCTTTCTCGCGCCACCCCCTTTTTTTTTTCTTCACAAATCAACATGTGCATTCGTTTTCTTTAAACTGGCATTAACTTTTTTTTATTTCACTCTTTTTTACGAACGTACAAGAAATTTTCGTACTTTATATTTTTTATTTATTGTTTATCGATTCGCAATGCCAACAGAGTTAAGTCCAAGTTGAGGTGCAGAGTTATGAGTCTTCGTTTCTACGATCGATAACTGGGTCCATTGTGGCCCAACTATACGATACGAGAGACGCTCGTTTTGTTAGACGAGTTACAAGTTTTATTGCTCGTCGTTTCAGTAAAATTGCTTTTTATTGCTTCGTGTAAACAATTTATTGGCAATATTGGCTTTTATGTCTCATTCTCGATATACATTCTTCGTTGTATATATTTTTATTTTTAATTATTAATTTATTTAATATTTTTATTATTAATCCTCAATTGGTATTGTTATAATTCAGCAACAAAATTTAATTTTAAAATATTTGATTTTTTTATTTTATAATAATGTTATAAATATTGTTATTTTTTGTAGATTTTAATAAATAGACATAGAGGTTACATTTATATGTTTTCATATTTTTTTATTTTATTTAGAATAATAGAAAATTTGGATCGAAATATTGATTGCACGAAATATTTCTCGTTCAACTAGATTTTCTATTTTCCTTTCTTTTTTGAATAAAATACCGAATTTTCAAATCGTTGAGCTAAAAAATGTAGTGAATCTCTCTATTTCATAGATCGTAATACATTTTAGAGACAATTAATTTAAAAATTTATTTCCTCTAATAAAATTGTAAAAACATTTATTATTCTTTTTATTCGAAAATATTTGTTTCTCCAAAAAATTTTCTTTTTCTTCAATTCTTATTAAAATATAATGCTACATTATGTTAAATTAAAAGAAATAAAATTGAACAAAAATTATTAAAAATAACAAAAAGAGAACAAAAAGAGAACAAAAAGAGAACAAAAAATTAACAAGGTATAAATAAAATATACATAAAGAAATAATACTAACAAAAGAAAAGAACAGGAATGGAATAGGGTTAGGATGAGTAATAATGTTAAAAAAAAAATAAAAACAACCCTGTATAGCACCCTATTTATTATCGATAATTCATACACGCTGTGTAAAATCTTTATTTAAAATGCAAATGAATATTATTCTCGTTTATATCATTAACTATCATTTTCGCAATAATTTTTATTAAAAAATACCATTTGCAAAATATGGTATACCTAGAGATAGATTAATTCACGTAATATATTACACTGGTCAATAATAGACAGTCTTATATATATATATATATATATATAATATATGTTTTTCTAAAATAAAAAATATCATTAAATCCGTGATATTATAGAAGAAAATTTTATAAATTCTGTTATAAAGTTGAATGAAAAATCTGTAAAACTCTTCAAAAATATATATAAGAGAAGCTAACGAGAGAAACTTCATTTCAATTGGTAATAATAATAAGTTTCTAATTTCTTATTATTAATATTGATAGTAAAATTAATTAATTACGTGATAATTTCATTTAAAAAAAAAAAAAGAATGGTCACCAATTCGTAGATTTTATTCATTTTGTTCAAAGTTTGTTTCGTTAAATCGTAGACAAATTTGATTTTCTAATAACAGCATGGTGTAATGCATCGCTGTTCAACAAGTTAAAAGTACTTGTGCGAATTAAACAACACTTTTAATCATAAAGTTGAATTAAGTACTGTTTGAAATGTTAAACAAGTATCTGGCACATTGAACACCGTGCGAAATTCAGTTTGTTGCAAAACTTTGACTGCTTTTACTGCTTGGTATAGTTCGTTCAAAGTTAATTCTTTCTTCAAGGTCACATAAGAGCGCTTCCCCCACCGCTTCAATTTAGTCTAATATTTCTTTAGTATTATTTGTTTCTAATTATCAAATTAAATTCATACAAATTTGATATAAAATGATCTCATGCGAAATTATGTGGTATAAATTAATATACCATAATGATAATGAAATTATCATTTTTTATGGATATAACTGTAAAGATAGAAATTTGAAAAATACAAGTATGAAATTCAATATTAGTGGGGGAAGTGAGCTTGAACGACCAATTGATTTCAATCTAATTATATGTGAAAACTGTTTTTACTAAATTTTTTAGAACTTTAATCTTTGATTAAGTTATTATATTTATTTGAATTTTATTTAAATATTGAATCACACGACATAGAACGTGCTAGAGATCGCCTTTGGACGGAAATTCTGCGAAAACACTCGTAGGAATTATTGCACAATCGCGATTATCCTTAAGGATGACATCGGGGAAAGACATGTCAAGCATCTTCTCTGATTCAAGTTCCAACAGTAAAACAAGATAAAAAAAGATTTCCAGAAAAAACCGAAAAAAAGTCCAATTGAACGATCGATACGAATCTCGGTGGAAAAATCGGTCGTCTCGAAGACACGCGAGTCGCGAGGCGAATCCAGATTCGATAGTCGCGGAAACAGAGGCTGAATAATCTCTCGAAAAAGTAACAAAGGGATTGAGCAAGCGCACAAACAAATATTCTAACTGTGTGATTTATTGTTATACAATTTGATCAAGATAGCTTTATCAATTAACAATACAAAATTATACTTTTAATTCACATTCTATGCTTCTATCTTATCTTTGATCTTTCTATATTATTAAAAAAAAATGTCGAGAAATTAATCTACTATTTCTTTAAACATATAGAAAAGTTATTGATCTTTCTTTAAAATAAGAAGCTTGCAAACAATTATATTTGTATCTGTAAAAATGATTCTATCAATTTTTCAATTTTATTTAATTGATTTTAATGTTAAGAAATATATTTAAATTATAGTATAACGCTACTTTGATCGAATTGTATATCTAAATCAATATCCAACCCAGAACGAGCATTGTAGGCTTCTCTCCTACTCCTTTCACATCTTCGAATAAATGAAAGGAAAAATAAAAACGACGATTCTCGACAATATACAAATATGCATCAATGCTATTTACATCAGAGAATTATCCTTCATCACCTTTATCTATAATGCATATATACCTTATAACAAATATACAACTTATAAAATGATTTCAAAGTTAAAATTACTCCAATTAATTTTCTTCTCCGCGACAGAATTAAGAAAAAAAAAAAAAATAATACATTTTACTCTTGCTTACCCTCTGATTCTATTATTTGTCTCAAAACAGAAGACAATATTCAGGAGTAGAAGACGCTCATAATCTAGGCTTGAATAGCTTAAATCCATTCTAAATCATTGCTCTCAGAAACTCTCAGATTTGACAAGATTGTGCTGATGCTTCAAACCCTCGATCAAATCCATATGATGGGGTGGCTCGATTACGTTCACTTTACGCTCCCTGAAATATTCTCGCCTCTGTTTGTGGCTATCCATGATCGAGCACGTGGCCGTCTCGCTATCCCTATCGGCGATCGGTTCAATTCGATCCTCCTGATCGCTCACCTGGACAATACTGTCTGGAATGGGCAACGGCTTGGCCACACCGATCCGCACGGTGCCCTTGGGGGCGCCTTTGAGCGCCTGCACCGCCTGATCCAACGTCGCGTTCTCCAGGGCGATGTCGTTGACGAATAGAAGACGATCTCCTGGTATCAGCTGCCCGTCGACCTGAGCCACGCCACCGGGCACCAGTGATCTTATTACTATCACAGTTTCGTTGGGGTTCATTGGATCCTGGAACAAACAGACACGAATTTGTTAGTGATTGTTGATTTTTTGGATGATTGAATCGAATATTCATTGATATTGGGATGAAGAATTAAAGAATTTATTGCAAATTGGATTACAGACTGGTTATAGGATAATCTAATTTCTAACGTAACTTGCTAAATCATAAGCATTTAAATATAGTAATATAATAAATAAGGTTTAGATCAATCTGCCTCGATTTTATGGTTTCCTCCATTGTTACAAGCTTTCAATTACATAACATATTAATTCAACATTTCTCTCTCAAACTATCAATGATAGTAATAATATTTTCTATTTAAAAAAAATATCAATATCAAGTAATCGTAGTAATCTATAACGAATGTTTTTTTCTTTTTAATAGAAGAATAAATTAAGCAATTCATTTGAAGGTTAGCATTGCTCACATTTTGAAAATTTTATTTCATCATTTTCCTAAATTTTTCATTAAAATAAATATATTTCTAGCTCCGATCAGCTATACTTTCTACAATATTTCAACAAATTAAATTAATTCAATTAAATCACGCCCATACCTGATAATCCAAAATGGAGAACCCAAGGCCCCGTTCTCCCTTTACCAATTCGATGATCTGCGGTTCGGAGCTCCACATCGCCAGGCCAGTTAACGGTTCCAAAGATCGCGATTTCATCTTGTTCAAACTGGCATCCGTCACCGTAGCCGTGGTCGTCGTCGACGCCAACGAGCCGTCAGACTTTGCCTTCACCAGACGGTCCATCGTTGGTAGCAAGTTCTGCAGAGATCCTCCAAGGATACTCTATAAAACAGGTTTTACCTGGTTACGCTCCAATTGTCAATAATATGTAGAAATTGGATTATTGCTTTTTTTTCTTTTTTCTTTTTTTTTTTTTTTTTTTTTTGGTAAGATGTTCTTACTCTGGTTTGGAAAGCGGCTTGGTGTTGAGCAGTGTCGATAGGACAAAGAGGATCCTGAGAAGCGATGTTCCTTCCGCAAACCATTCGAACGTGTATGGGTAATTCTTTTAACACGCTAACTACTTCCATGTGGTTGATACCTAATAATCGATATCCGTTCACCTGTTGAATAAGTAAAATTGTTGGATATTTAATTTATGATTTTTTAATAATTTATTCTTATTACTATTGGTAAAGAAAGGTTTATAATATGTTTTAGTTATAATTTAAAGGGATCCTTAATCATAACTTAATGTTGGGTTTTTTTTTTCTACTAATAAAAATAGATACACAAAAATTTGGGAAAAGTTAGAATTGTATATAAAAGTTTGAAGTATTTTAAAAATTTTTCAGATCTAACTAAAATGCATTATACAAATAGCAAAAATAGTCCTAAAATCAAATAAAAAAACAGTGTTGACACTATGAAATTGATTGACGGTATATTTTACATTATTACGTTGTTGTTAACTCAATAATTTATTATTCTATGCTTATTAATTTATTAATTATTATTAATTAATTATAATTAATTATTATTATATTAATTAATTATTATATATTAATTAATTATTAATTTATCTTAATAAATATTCATAACTTGTAACGATTACGAATATAGATAACAGATAAAATAGATATGAATAAAATTACGTCCATCATTAAATAATGGATATATTTATTAATTTGTTAAGTAAACCGAGGATGAATTTGCAAGTTATTAAATCATCACAATATTCTGCCACAAGTGTTAATCCATCGTGTTAATTGGATTTAAAGGGAAGGCAAGATATTGGACTTTGTTGGATCAAAGTGTCGCATTACCTCGAGCAATTCGTCCCCGGAACGAAGCGTTCCATTTTGTCCTACGGGTCCTTCCGGAAGGATCGATCTTATGTAATGATGCGGTCTCACTTCTTGCCCGTTCTCCACATCCACAGTCCCTTCCAAGCTTATTCCAAGACCACTGCCTTCTGCGAATTTCTTCAATTGCGCCACCTATTTGACACGGAAAAGAAAAATTTCTTCTCTTTTTTTTTATTTTTTATTTTTTTATTATTTATCTTATCTAGGAATCTCTTTACTTCTCTAAATATTATAATTGCCGTGGAAATTAATTTTTCTACAATTTTTTTACAATCGATTAAATTTTATAAAATCATCGTGAGATGGGTCGTTAAAGTTTCAACAAGTGAAATATTACACACCACAATCTCCGTGTCTGGTCCGACGATCTTCTGCCATTTCGCCTTAATGGCGGCACGAATTTGAGGCGTAAGCTCGCTGGATGGATCGCTCAACAAAGCTTCCACATTGGCGGCGTCATCCAATTCCTCCGACCCTCTTTCGCGATCACCATCCTGGAGAATCGCGCTGTCGACAGTTGTATGCGACTCTCCTTCAGGTTCTATTTCAGTAGTAGTTTCTCCATCCTGCAATGGAACATTTTATACGCATTGCCGTTAAGAACATTGTTGTTGTTATACATCGATTATACATAAAATTCTGTACGACATAATACAAACAGTCTTTTTTTTCGTCCATGTTGTATATTTTATCGTGTATAAAAATATTGATTTTATTAAATACGAATTTTAAAGAAAATACCGCGCTAATCGGGAAGCTTGGCAAACTGGTGATGGATGGAGAGCTCGGTTGAGGTAGTCTCAGTTCACTGGCCGCGATCGCCTGTTGAAGCTGGTCGTACTTTGGTCCACGTAGATATCTCTCCAGACAAAGGACTACCGTTTGCCCTGTACGTCGTAACACCTCCACAGCCTCGTGATTTGAGTAACCCTGTAAAGAATGGCCGTCCACCTCCACTATTCTATCGTTTATTTGGATCTTGTTGCTCAAGTCTGCCGCGCTTCCCTCGCTGATGCTCTTCACGAAAATGCCAGATAACTCTTCTGCAATCAGAATCGAACGCGAAAAGAAATATTATATTTCAAATATTCTGATATTTAAATTTTCAAAAGATTTTTTTATAGATTTATGAATTTCTAAATTTTCAAACTCGTCCATTTTTGAGATTCCAAAAAAAAAAAAAAGAAAAGTTTCTTTCATCTCCAAACTTTAACCTTTCTTTCAACTTTCAAATAATTATATTTTCCAATATATAAAGATAATATCCAAATACTCTTTTCTCGTCACCGCCTAATATCTCCAAGATTTTTATTCCCTTCGACCTCGAATTCTCCAGAAATAATTCTTGTTGTCTCTCGCGTGACGGGATTACCTTTCTCGCACACGTATCCAGCGATGGTAATCCCGAGGCCGTAAATGTCTTTCTTAAGCTCGACGGTGAATCGTTCCATTTCTGGCAGTGAGTTAACATCAATGGTGTCCATGGTGAGGACCGGAAGCTCCGGGATCTGCACCGGAACCGTCGGTATCACTGGCATCGCTCCAATTGGCATTGGGTTGCGTACTACGTCCATGATGAGACCTGGCCTTGCCTGAGACCGAATAACCCATCCTTTCGAGATAATAGCTCGGGCATAATAACGAGGAATGATATGCAAATGCGGCAGATACTCGAAGAATCAACAGAGGAATAAAAAAAATAGAACCAGAGGAGAAGGGATTGTGCATTAGTTGATGTGAAGCTTATATAACATTTGTAGTAACATAGATTCTCAAATTAATTTACAGATAATTAGAATAAATAAAACGAATTAACAAGAATTATTGTTAAGAAGTGTTGAAGAGATTTGAATGAATTAAAAGAACCAAGGACATGATAAATTAATCAACTGGAACTTTTATGTCATAATATTTTCAACTAGCTTTTCATTCTTCAACGATATAAAAAAAGATTCAAGCTTATTTTTTGCCTGCAATAATGGATTACACTAACTAATGTCGACCAATGGAAAGGATGGAACAACGTGGAGGAACAATGAAATCTCATAAAGTGCAACCGACTCACGTGCATCTCGACGTCAGATTCCTGGGAGTACATGAAGCCGTTGTCGTACGCGCTGTCGGGCTGCACGTGGCGCATGTTGTACGTCTCCGGCACGCTGTGCACCAGGTGACGATCCAACTCCTCCGGGTCACCCAGAATCTTGGTTGGTACGATCGGAGCGTGGCTGCCGAGTGCCTGAAATTGATGATATTCGATTGGAATCTCTGCCTCGAAATTCGTATCAAGGACGAGGATTTATTCCTATCATCTATATTTATTCTTGTAGTGGCTGATTTGTGGTAAGTTTTGATTATTGAACTGCTTTGGATTTATGTATACAATGATCGAGTAATGTGTAATTGTATATATTTAAGAAAGATATATTTTCAAAGTATAATATAGATTTATATATATATTGATCTTGTGATTATTGGTAAAATATATGTGCACACGTAGCCATATTGGAATAAATAAATAATTGTGATTAGAAGATGTTAGTTTATTTTTGTGGAAAAAATATATCTATCACATATGACAATAAATTTTTAAATAATTTGTATTATTCTAATACTTTTAGTTAGTAATTATTTTTGTGGAAAATTTCATCGTTTATTTAGCATATTTTAAATATGACTGCATGATATATTCCGCTAACAGTCGTGATCAATAATATGTAATTCTATTAGCATACATATTGCATATGTTCGTGCAATATAATGTTTAATGAGTTTCTATTTTAATTCATACCCTTCTTAATGAAAAAAATGAATGAAAATATTAAGATATCGTTAAGAAATTAGTATCATTATGAATCATATCCTCTTTTTATCTTTACACATTAATCAAGCTGCTTTTTAAACTTGTAAAAATTAACATATTTTTTATATCCTTGTCCATTAAGTTAATAGCTGGATCTTTTTCTATTATAAATAAATTTGTTTAAAGTAACGTCGTAAATAAGTTGTAATTATAAAAAATGGATAAAAACGACATAGCTGCTACGAAAATAAGAAAAGTCGAAGAGTTAAAGTGCTTTATATAATGCCTTCCAGAACTACGAAACGATCAATTATGACAGTATTTACCGTGCAAACAGACCGATCCAATGATTTAATGAAAACGCCCCGCTGCCATTTAATTAATGAGAATTCCGATCGAACCATTTCATTAGACTTTTTAGAAAAAAAAAAAATCCAAGAACTTTACTTAAAGAAAAGTAATTTTAACAAAAGAAAAATAAAGAAATATCCCCAACAACGCGATTTTTTTCTATAGAATTTTAAACATTCAAAGTATCAATCTTTCAGTTTCTCAAACTTCTAAAATAAATTTCATTATAATTTTTACGATTCCAAAATTATCCCCGAGAATCTTCAAATCTTCCAATTTCCAGATAGAAAATTATCTTAAAATTCCAAAATTCTTCTTTGAACTTCTACAATCTCAAATTTCCTAAATATCTTTAATTTCAAATTCCAAATTTTTACCAAATTTCGCAATCTCTCGATTTTCAAACATATATTCAAACTTTCCATTATATAATGTAATGTTTGGAACATTAAAAAGATTAAGGGGGAAAAAAAAAATATTGATCAGAAATACCTGGTAATCCGGCGAGGTTGGTTCCACAGGTCGCGCGACAACGAGACGCACGTGCGTGCCGGATTGTCGCAGGACTGCCGCAACCTGTTCACTTCCCATTCCCCGCAAATTGACATCGCCGATTTGCAATATATGGTCCCCGCTCTGCAACCGATTATCCTGAAATTCGTATCGAGAACGAGCCGTGTTTAATTCCCCGATCGATCACCATTAAATATTCCTGCGTCGTTTAATTTATGTAGTTATATTTCTGTTTTTTTTTTTTTTTTGATGGAATTTTATTTCGAGATTAATGCCCTTTGATTGCTAAAATATAATTCGATTTATAATTTTATCGAACGTCATATACTGAAACTTTTTTCAGGGAGGAAAAGATGAATTTTGATTATATGAAAGAAAGGAAATCTAGAAAATGTTTAATCGAAGCGATTAAAGTATTTATATTTATAAAGTATTTGTGTTGTGTCTGACGATTTTGTATCATTTTTGTCAATATTTACTTACTCGATCGGCGACACCTCCTGGAAGGATTGTCTTGACGACAACACCGCTGCTTCGTCCACCCACGATTCCGAATCCAAGACCGCTACCATCATTGATCAGATTTATTACCTCAACTTGTGCCCATTCCGTGTTCAGCTACAACACAGTACCAACACATAAATTCAATATGACGTGTCTGGTCGATCCGCCATTTATCATCGAGCTTATCTTATCCCTTAGTTAACAAAGAAATCAGTCAGAAATTATGGAGAGAAATAGAATAGGATAGAAACTTCAAATATATATGAAATAAAATTTGAAAATATTGTAAAATTTCAATTTCAAATTGGAAATCTAGATTTTTCTATTTACTGTTTGATAGAAATACTAGAAATTACCAGAACTAGGAATTTCAACTAATTTGGGTTAGGTTTTGTTCTGGTCCCTATTTAAAAATAGGGATCACTAGAAACTAGGAATCATGAAACACGATATTTATAATCATTTAAAATCTAAAAATTGTGGAATTTTTAATTTCTGAAGTTTTAAGGTTGCCTGATTTAAAATTCAAAGTATAAAGTTTGAATTTTGAACTACATAAATGGAAAACAGAGATTACAAGTTACGTATATTCCCATCTTCCAACTGGGAAATTCTAATTCGAAATTTCGATAAACTAGCAACTAAGAATATACAATTTCGAATCTATAATTTCGAACTTGGAACGTCCAATCTCTAATTTGAAATCTACAATTTAACTCTTGGAATTCAAACTAGGGAAACTTTAAACTTGTAGAACTTGAAATTACAAATTTCAATCTTTGAATTTTCAGACTCATTTCATTATAATATTAATACATAAAATTTATTAAAATATTAATCAATGATATATATTCGTTATTATTTTTATTCATATTAGTTTCATTAAAATGAAACAACGAATAAATTGTAAAAATAATATTTCATAAACGATCATTTAATATGTACAAAATCACATTGTTTCATTCTACAATAATTTTGTCGCATTCACTGGCAATTTTAAAATGAATCAGGCGTCGAGGTTTCCAAAGTTCGAATAAAAAGAGCGCGCTATGCGTAATTGTTGAATCGTGGTAATTGAAACAAAATAAAGAGCGACTCTTTTAATACGATATATTTGTGTCGAGGTTTTTTCAATGTAAAAGCTATATTAAAACGATTCACGTGATATTCAATGCGTTTAAACGTTTCCAATAATGGAGAGAAATTTTCCAAAACAATTTAAAATAAATTGTTAAATCAAGAACTTTTTATGTAAAATTTGAAATTTTTAATAAAAAATTCTCGTTTTAAATAATTAAAAAAAAATTATTAACATAAAAACGCTATCCAAGTTTTCGTTTCGAAAATTTGTATAATTTTTAAATTTTAATCTAGAAATTATTCTAAAGATAATAATATTAGGAATTTTTGTGAAATATGAAAAAATGAGAATCCTCAATTTTATAATTTCCATTTTTTTTTTTATTAAAATTACTCTATTCGTCGTTTAAAAGATTCTTCTTCGTTAGAAAACTGTTATAGATACCGGAAGAACTAAAATAATTAGTCGACAAAAAACTCGCGCTACATTTTCTCTTTTTCAATTTCATTGCCTCGGGTATGTACATTGCCTCTCCTGTCAGATAACAAGATGTGTTAAAATTGCAAAGAAAAAAGAAAAAAAGAAGAAGAAGAAGAAGCTTGATGTACTGTCGTTGCTTCAAGCCATCCTGAAACCTTTTATCGATTCACAACATTTATTATATGTATATATGAAGTAAATATTTTTTAAAAAGAAGTGAAAAGAAAGAGAAAAAGATGAGAAATAATGTTGCATTGTATTATATAATATTACAATTCGTTCAGAAAAAATAAGTATTCTATAAATTCTATTTCCTCAGACATCATTTTTTTCTTTATTTCTACATTTGTTTATTGTATTGTATTGTAAGTTGTATTTCAGAAATTAGAAAAGATAAAATTGTTGAAGATTATAATAGCGACATGAGAAAAATTTATTCTTTTAAACAAAGAAATATCATAGCAGGTAAATAGATAGAATAAATGAATTTTTTTAAATGAATATAATAAATTAATATATTTTATATATTCATTTAATTTATCTAAAGGATAATATTTGAAGAATATTTTTTTAAATATACTGATTCATAAAAATATATATGAATTATATTTTTTTTTTTATTATTATTATTCTTTTTGTCATACTTTCCTTATTATTTCACGTTTTGAAGTTAATCCACAAAATAGATAATATTTATAAACGTATTCTGACTCGTGTTTCCGACAAACAAAATTTAAATTCTCCCAAGAAAGCGTGTAAATATCGCAATTAACGTGATGAAATTTTCTAATTATCGTTTGAGCTAGGAACGAGGTAAGATGGAAGAAGATCACAAGAACGAGGGATATGGGTCAATAGTTCTCGTTACAAGGAAAAATATACAACGAAAAACAAGAAAATACGAAAGAACGGAGAAAAAAAAAAATTCTAAGGAAAAATTCGCATTGTGTCTTTTTGTGAATGGGAAGAATTAGAAAGATATTTTTCGCTAAGATGGTATGGTATGATCTCCCTGTCGAAAATAAGAAAAATAAAGGGAAAAATCACCATAAAAAATAATTTTTTTCTCTTGAAAAGAAAGAAACTTTTGAATATTTTTTTTACAAAATAAAATAATTAAATATTCTTGATGCAATTTCAAGTGTTTCTTACGAAAAGGAAAATTTATGAAAAATTTGTGAATTACACGTAAATATATTTTTTCCTTTTTTTTTTTTATCTTTTACGTCTTAATAACTTTACATACAAATCTCATATAAAAATCCAACGTCTCCACATTGTTATATTACAATTACACGTCAGAATTCAATTTTCAACCTTTCTCTACTTTCATTAAGAAAGAAAGAGAAATACTACCCAAAGCAGAGCCTCCTTACTTTCGTTTAACTTTCTCGAAGGAGCAGCCCCTATTAATCAATTTAAAGAAAGAAAGAAAGCTCGTTTCGTACTATTTTAACAGTCATATTTCACCAACAGGAAGCAATTGCTCAGAACCTTAAATTTTTATCGACTCTTCTAGTCGTAACGAACGAATTATTGACGAACAATTTAGAAATGATTTCAATTGCACAGGAATTCTTATCAAGTCGACAATTGCAACTCAACGCAACTCGACTTCTGTCACGAGAACGCTTTTAAAGTTTCGATAAATCGTTCGTTCTCTCGAGGAAGTATTTTTTTTTTCCTCTTTCTTTTTCTTCCTCTCTTCTTTTCTTCTTCTTTTTCTGTTCTACACGGAGTTCTGGACGGTTCTTCTCCTGAAGTCTTGATCGACTTTATCAAAGTGAGTTAAACGCCGAGTAATATAGCCAAGACGGCAAATAGGAAACTGTGCTGATAATAAAATTTCTTTCGAAACGATGTTGTACTTTCCTTTATCGTGGAACTTTTAAAGCAGGAGAAATCGATGAGAGGGGATGGTTGGCAGATATTATTTGAAATATTTGCGAATACGCTGGTGGAATGAAATAGAAATTGAACGAGAAGCGGGGAGGGCTTTGTGACAAGGATCGAGATTCTTTTGCTTTTGTTCTATCGTACCAAGTTTCCCAGAATTTGAATCTGAGGAGCTTGTCAAAGAAATTTTTCAACTCTCATATCTCGCATTTGATATTGAATATTTTATTCCCGAGCTTAGTACTTCTCTACTCTTACCTTGGAGATTGCTTTCTCTCAAACTTCGTAAATCGTGTTCTTCGATGTTTTTCAAATTCCAACATTAATCTTCGTTATTTTCAATACTTTTTAACTTTGCCAAGTAATTCCAAAGATCTTTTTCATCGATAATATATAACTCGAGGAATAATGTCGAAAGTTTTCATTGAAATCATTAATATTTTTCGTTGCACTGCATGAGAAATTATATAATAAATACCAAACGAAGTTAACATCGAATTGAAGTGTTGATTACTTGGGAAATTGTTCGAAGGAATCGATAACTTCTGGTTTAAATTGCAATGCTATTTATCATTTTGTATTCTCGAAATATTTGATAAGCTGCATTCTACAATTTTAAATATCGACCAGCAGAACCAATTACGCCATTAAATCTACGCGTTTATTAAAAATATTGCACAATATTGTGGATTCATCAGTAAGATCAGATTAAATTTTTCCATAAAATTCTCAGATATTGACCGTCTTGTTCCAAATTAGCTCCGATTCCACGACATCTAATGGCGAAATTAATACCAGCGAAAAAAATTTTAAACGTTTAACCAAAATCATCGAAAACCGAAACCAGAGCCATCTCGATTAACCGCATTCAACTTGGCCAATAATCGAACGTGATTCCAACCATTTTGTGAAAGTGGGGAGAAAATGGAAACGCCTATACCTATTCACAGATACCGACAAAAACGATTTTCAAACACGTGTATAGACACGATTGAACGCGATTAAAATTGATGACGGCCTCGTTAATATTCAAAAATGGCGTTCGAATCGTTCGTGAAATTGTAATGGCCGTGATATTTCGGTGACCGAAGAGGAAATGTTTTAACAACGAGCATCGAAATGGTCCCTGGGGGTGGAATTGCTCTTTGGTGTCCACGATTTCTTATTCGACTTTCAATCGTTGCAAAGAGAGAGAAATTTTTCAGTGAGATTATATTGCTGTTGAGAACCAATGTGTTAGCAGACTTAATGATTAAAGATTTACTATGTTGAAACACCAGGTGGCTCTGATGTGATTTTCCCTTACAGATTGTTTATGCTCTGTCTTTTTGGACATGTATCACCATTTATCTCTAATATTCCTTTTTCTTTTTCACTTTGTTATATTGCGTTATATTGTTCCCTATGCATTTCAATGAATAAAGTTATCGGTGAATGGAGTGATTTCACTGAGTCAGATATAGATAAGATTTTTTTATTTTTCATTAATTGTTTTTTTCTCTCCCTCTATCTTTATTGCCATTGCAAAATTGAGGAATTTGAGAGAGATTGATTTCTTGTTTTTGAGAGAAAGAGGGATGATTTTGAAATGATTCTTAAAAATAACTTCAAAATTCTAATATTCTAAAGATCGAGATCTATAATTCTATGATAATAA